TGGTAATAAAGTTCATCTCCAGCACATAGACCAGGTCAGACCTCTGGATCCCTTTCAGTACCAGGCAGTCTTTAAACAGGAAGATACCAAGGGTATTTTACCATTCTCCCCTTTGCAGCAGAAACAAAGCAGTATGTAAATGGTTTTTCTTCTTTTCCCAGCCACTGTCAGAATCACCTCAAAGGTGGACTTGGTCAGGGCAAGGTGTGGCGTAGGGCTCCAGGTGTCAAGAATAGCTGTGGCAGCACAAAATAGGTTACCAGTTCCCTTCCCTGTCTGCCTTTACCCAAAAGCTTTCAATGACCATTTTTGCCCATTCTGAAGTCATTTTTCAGTATGACTGTAAGCTTTCCTAGAGAAGACGTGAAAGTGCTTAGCAAGGAGTAAGATATGCAAAACACTGCAGAAAGAATTAATTATTGCTTAAAAGTAGATTATTTGGAGAAAAATCTTTAAGAGGAAAAAAAAGTAGTAGTATTATAACAAATTCTAGTCAAACTTTGCCTTCTGACTTTTGAAAACTTTAGCAATGGGACTTTCTGCTACTTTGTATTGAGTGGAATGTGTTCAGATGACATAAGACTGCAGGCATGCAGCTCTTTCCTTCGAGGCCAAGGGAAAAAAGAAGGAAGATGCTGTCTAGTGGCAACAAAGTGGGTAGCAAGTTGAGACTCTGATGATCCCCACAGCAGTAGATCTCTTAGCAGAAGTTGAGTCAAAACCTGGTGAGTACCTTTATTCCACATAGGCTACTGATAAGTTTTAACTAAGGGATAAACAGAGTACATGACCAGTCTCATATTATGTTGGATTATTTGATATCAAAATCACTTATTTTCTATTTTTACTAAGAGCAAAGGGAGTAGTAAGAGGGGTTTTCTTTATCATAGAGAAAATGAGAAAACCCTCAAAGCTAAGGTTACAAAGTCTAATTCCTGGAACAATGTTTTCTCTACTTGTTTAGCTGTTTAAGTCAACATTGTTCTACTGCCACATACAACAAAGCACTGATCCAGAGCATTGCATTCTGGAATGACTTCTTCTCTGACTAATGATTTAATGCTAGCAGAGCAATTTAATGTGCCTATCTCCTCCCACCACCCCCCCGCCACCTCTTCCATTTTTAGTGACTTAAACTAAGAGAAGTAGAATTTGCAGTTGATGGCTTTCATATGGCTTCAATAATTCATTAGTTTGGGGATCCTTACAATATGGACTTAAAGCTGTTTGCTCTAGGAAAAAAAATATTCTGCAAATAGCTGATGAGTCCAACAAACAATGATTTTTGATCAAGTATACCGAAAGTGCTGGTTTCATTTTATTACTTAATTCAGGGATATGTTAAGTTGATGAGAATAAATGGGATTTTTTTTAAACCTAGGGTCTATTAGAATTTAGGAAGCTACCTGATAGCTTCCTATGTATAACATGACCCCATGATCCTCAGTTGTCCAATAAAGTCAAGACACAGTATTCTCAAGACAAATATACTTTAGGTGGTACAAAGACAAGACAGACTGCTGAGTAGTTACAAATGCAAGTACACCACAAGAAAAAAACAAATAGCATTCTGGATCAAATCTCAAAAATAACATACCTCCAAAGGATTACTTAAAGTTGATTTTTTAGTTAGCTTCTCTGAGCTGAAGAAACCATAAAAAAATCTAGTTTTGCCCTTAAAGGTGCAGAGAAAGTATTTTATCTAAAATCAGAAAGCTTACTAGCAGACTGGAGTGACAAATCAGGGTCAGTACTTCTTGATTTCTGCCTCCATAATAAAGTCATGCTGCCTCTGGTATTAGATCAAAGAGCTTGTGGAAGTAGTCAAGAGTGGGTTGGAAGTGACTGGATTCAAGTTTTGATTTAATAATGAACAAATAAAAAAATGATGTATTCTTTAAATGAGAAAATTAGTGGCAATCTAGATTAAAAAGATAGCCTCATCTAAGGGCTAGAACTGAGCTGTACAGTTTTGTAGCCACAAGTGATTAATGAACATCTGATTGTGGCTTGTCCAAACAGAGATGTGTTCTAAGTTTAAATATTACTGAATTTTAAAGATTAGGGGGTGGGGTGGAGAGGAATGTAAAATGTCTTAGTAATAAATTTTTATATTTATTTCATATTGGAATAACAATATTTTTGATACACTGGATTAAATTTATGGTTAAAATTAGTTTCACTTATTCAAGTTACACATGCTCTCATGTTTCTGTTGGACAAGGCTGGTCTACAAATAAGCTGTTGAGGTTTGTATAGCTGTGCCAGAAAGCACAGGTAGCATACCAGCAGGCACAGCATGCTATCAGGGAACCATCAATAGGCTAAGGAAAGGAAAGGGTAGGTAGGACTTTAAATTTGATACACTGCAAAATTCGAAGCTACTGCAGAATCTGGAGAGGGAATGGTATACTTTGAATAATACTCAACTATAATAATTTTGTAGGCACTAACATTCCTTACAGATTTTTGAAGCGAATTTTGTTTCCTCTTGATAAAAGAGATGCATTTGAAATGCTCAAATAAAGTTTACCAATTTTACCACTAGGCTTTATAGTAAAGTATAATAAATTTAAAGACGACTATTTCAGCAGGGTTTAAAAAAAAATTTAAGTTACTGGAGTTTAGAATTTGTTTATTTTTATACTAATTATCTTTTGAAACAGTATATGACTTGTGTACAAGTTCACACACACAAACATACACACACACACACAAAATCACAGATTCTTTTTTACAACTAGCATCATAATACTAACAATTGCTTTAAAACACTCATAATTTTAGCACCTACTTGAATGAAAAGGGCTCGAATGTTCAGAATCAAACACGCTGCAAACATCTGTGGTACTGGAAGCACCAGAAGCAGGAGGAGGTGTTAGTGGTGTTCTTGGAGAATTTGGTGCAGATGCTGTACTTTCTGTTTCACTTTCAGGGATCCTACTATAACTGATTTTTCTTGGCTCCTGCTGTAGAGGTGTGGGATGCCTCATGGTACCTGGTCTTGGGTTTGATGGACGAACACCAGGAGATTTTAGGGGGTAGCTGTATTTTTTTGGCTGTAGACATATGAAAAGAAACAATACTTAAAACACTGTGGTAGAAAGGAAAATTTTTGTACCTGGTAAAATTCAATGAAATAGCTTTGAAAGCCATAAATCACCATTACGGAAATTACATAATGATTCAAATCAAAGAATCCAAGTTAAAGCATTATTCCATTTTGCTGAAACTTTGGTTAACTAAATTGTTAGGAAATGAGTTTCTTTAACTGAGTTAGTCCTATAAATACCAGAATATTTGTTACAAATTTTTCAAAAATATATTGTATATTTTCGTGGTTATTTTGAGGTGGGGAGAGTACTAGAGATTGAACCCAGGTGTGCTTACCACTGAGCTACATCTATCTCCACTCCCCCCACTGATTTTTTTTTTTTTTTTGAGACAAAGTCTTGCTGAGTTACTTAGGCTGGCCTCAAACTTGCAATTCTCCTGTCTTAACCTCCCGAGTTGCTGGGATTACAGGTATGCACCACCACACCCAGCTTTTCCTTTTTCCTGGCTTTTAAAACAAACTCTTTTGAACAAATTGAATCTTGCTGAAAAAGTGAGGATCACCATCATGAACTATAGTACCTTACTATGCTATAATACAGTGATGACATTAAAACAATTTGGGCTATTTATAAATGCATTAAGTTGCTTGAGTTTTTATCTGTGTATATGTTAATTTTAAGGCATTTTGCTTGCAGAGTGATTATTTCTTAGTGATATCACTGTGCCTCAGTGAAGCAGTCTAGATATATATTTCCAATTTGCTGTTTTTAATTCATTTTATTAAAAACTATTTTAGGGCTTGACAAATTTGCCTATGAGTAACTGCATATGCTTTAGTTCATAAACACTATGAGATTTATCTTGATCACTTAGAAATCACTTATGTTTATTTCCTGATTCTTGACTTTCTTATTATTAGGAGAACATATTCAGATCAGTGAGGTGATGATAATGTACATAAACTTGGCTAGTCACCGATAGTAATACAAAACAGTGGAACTACTGGAAGGTGTCTTTAGCGAAACCTGATATTTCTATGTGCTAATGACTCATGGTTAAAAGTTCTAATTATTACTTTAAGTCCCAAGTAAATATCTTTCTTATAAGTGAATTAGTATAAATTCATTAAATTTCTGGCACTTAAAATAAATAACATTGTTTTTGGTTAAATCCAAGAATAAGAAAAAATCTTACATATTATGCTCAATTTCATAATTTATCATGTCAGAATTTATTCAAATTAATATTAACATCCATTTATTTGGAACCAAGGGGAATATTCCTGGGTGTATTTAGTAAGGATTTCATTACTTTTCACTATCACATGTCCATTTCACCTCTGAATAATTTTATGGTAAACTAATCTACATAACATATGGTAGTGATGACATCACTAGAAGTAGATGACAACTGCAAAAAGTTTATAGATATAAAAGAAATGTAGATAGATGAATGCTTACAAATCTTGGAAGAGGCTTAGGGTTCCGTGGTTCTATCTCTAGGGATTTGTTGAAGAGATAATCAGTAAATTCTTTCTCCATGCTATTTCCCATTGGATTCAAGTTTTCAAAGAATCTCTAAAATGAATGCAAAAAAATTAATATTCAATATATTAAGTTTGAAATTCATGAATATAATTTAGGAATATGACTTAAGAAAATTTGAATTTTTTTTAGCTTTTATTTCCCTATTTCTCCTCTACAAAATAAACTTGGCTATTTTATCAGGCATTTTATAAATTTAATAAGAATTATATATCCTCATAATTCAACTTACTTTGATATCTGATTCTACTCGTAAACAATAAGGCTGATTTTGGTACTGCTGGATCTCTCCTGTTATTTCTGCTACTTTCCTTCTTTTGCTAAAGTTTATAAGTTCTTTTCCATGTCTTTTTAGGACCTCAGGGTTGCCTTCTTCTGTTTTCAAGATATTAGTGAGATAAATTCCTAGAAGATATAATGAAATTGTTTCAAGGATAAAGAAGGAAAAAAGCAAGTTGTTTCTTTTTTCCCACATTAATTGTGGGCATATACACTGTACTCAGTCATCATAACTAAAGAATCAAGGCTCAGATTTCCATGCTAAGAAAGATAACAAGTTCAGAAAGTATCAAGAGAGTTTGTAAGTATCAAATTCTTCTATGAAAGACTTAAATTTTATAATGTCCTCGGAAATGGGGAGACCAAGTTCAAGTTTTAAAAAAAAAATCAATAGATTTTTCAGGAAGAATACTAATTTTTCACAATCCTCAAATCATTGTTATTTGATTAAATCACAGTTTGGCTAAAGGAACTTTAAGAATAACTATGTCATTAATGGCACATATCTTTGGCAAAATGCTAAACTCAGAGGATCACATTTTCTGCTTACTCAATTCTTGAGGTCCCATAAGAGCTTGTTAGGATTTGCAATTCAGGGGTAATCCTGTTTGGGTAGGCTTACTTCATGGAAATGTGGAAGGATCTGCAAGCCTATCAAACATAGGACTGATATAACTCATGTCAATCTGGTAGTTGAGCTCCTGTTTCCCCATCACTGCAGGTTGTGCACTGGGTGGGGAGGAGAATGAACAAAATAACAGGCACTTTAGCTGTTTTATCCAGTCCTCTGGAACCAGGAGCACTTTAGTTCCTTTCCTGTCTAGTACAAAGGTTCTGGAGCCAGCTCTTCTGCTTTCTACTTGTGTGATATTATGCAAATTGCTTAGTCTCTTTGTAAATCAGTTATCTCATCTGTAAAATGAAGGTAAGAAGGCTGCTGTGAGAAATAAATGAGAGAATTTTTATATGGTTTAGAATAGGGCCTGATAAAAGCATTAATTAGCTTCAGTTGTGACTGTTGATGCCATTATTGTATCTTGCCCTATTTTCGTATGTTTCTGCCCTCTCCTACCAAAGTACTGACTGCTGCTTTGGGCAGAAGACAAGGGTCTGGATATCTGAATTCATTCACTCAAATAAAATGCATCGAGTTTTGGCTGTATGTCAAGTACTGCATTAGGTACTACAGATACAAAGATGAAAAAAAACACAGTCCCTGATCCCAAGGGAGTCCAGAGCTTTGAATGTGGACCACTAAGATGCAATTTGGTAAGTATATTAATATTAATGCATAAGATGCTACAAGAGAATAAGGAGGCACATGCCTTATCCTGCTTTGAGCAGTGGGATTAGAAAAAGCATTAGAGATGAGGTGATGCTTAGAATAAGTCTCAAAAGCTGAAGAGAAGTTTAATAAGTAGAATAAGATAGAGGGCATTCTAAAGCAAAGTAGTAATGTGTACAATGATTTGCGATGAAGCTTGGAAGACATAGTTAAGAGATAGCGTGTTATACGGTATGGCTAGAACACAGGGATTTGGTGTGTGGAGTGGAAGAAGAGTGGCAGGACATGAGGGCAGTGGTTGTAAATGCATCTGTGGTAGAGGCACAATTTAAATATTAGAATTTTTGGCCACATCCTTGAAAAGATTAAATGATGCAAATCATAGATGTCTGTTTTTTTTTTTTTTGGTGTGTGTGTGTGTGTGTGTGTGTATATGTGTGTGTATGTGTCTGTGGTGCTGAGCTACACCCCCCAGCCTTTTATTTGAGACAGAGTCTCACTAAGTTGTCCAGGGTAGTCGGGAATTTGCAATCCTCCTGCCTCAGTCTCTCTAGTAGCTGGGATTACAGGCATGTGCCACCATGCCCAGCTTTATTTAGTTTTAAAAAGCATTCAGTTTATCAGGCATAGTAGCACACACCTGTAATCCTCTCAGGGCTGAGTTCAAAGCCAACCTCAGCAACTTAGCGAGGCCCTACGCAACTCAGTGAGACTCTGTCTTTAAATAAAATATAAAAAAAAGGGCTGGGACAATATGATTGATGTATGTACATTCCATGTATGTATTATATGTCAAAATTCATTCGGCTATCATGTATGACTAAAAATAAATAAAGAAAGAAAGAATTTAAAAAAAAAGGGGGGGGGCTGGGGATGTAGTTTAATGGTTAACAGCGCTCCCTGGGTTCAATCCCTGGTATCAAAAAAGAAGCAGTTATTGAATGAATTAGTTTTTTTTGTCTTTTTGAGTACCTAGGTCACTCTTTATGATACATTCATTTATAAGACAAAGTTACTGTGTGTTCTAGTAAGAAAAGGCTCTTTAACTTTTAGCCAGTTATAGTCTTTATACAAATGACATGATCCATTTAGCTCAATGATCATTCTGACAAAACATGCATATGCAATGGTAGCCAAAATTAACTTTTCATTTTAGTCACAAACTATGGCCCATCCATGAAGAGTTTGTGCATAGTAACATCTGGACTTTTGTTTAAAAAGCTTCACTTAGGAGATAAATAGGGAATTATTAGCATCTTTACATTCTAGCTAACATGAGCTGCACTGAAAGCCAAAGAAGAGAAGTTTGCAAGCTATCAACAGTGTTTGTGAGATGATGAGGGCTGCCGTAGGGTCTAAGAAGATATAATAGAGGGGATAAATATTTCATAAGTAGCCCCTGCCCCCTGAACTTATTAACTGGTTTTGGTAAGGGATGGACCAGCAGGAAAAAATTGTCTGAGCTTTGTACTTGGGTGACTGAATGGGTGATACAATGACCACCACTGGGAATGCAGGAGGGCAAAATAAGTTTATGGAATGTCCAGGTGTTAAAAGTATACTTGAATGAAGTTGTAAATATGCTTACAAGTAGCACTTGGGAAAGAGTTCAAGATAAAATTTGGAAATTATTTTATGCCTAATTGGTGACTCATTAAAAGATGTTGATGATCATCAGTGTTTAAAAAATCATATATATAAACATATACATAATTCTTGAATTAAAAATATAAAACCTGTATGTATGTATAATACAGACCTGAATATTACATATAAGGAAGCTTAATTTTTTCTTCTTTTAAAAATATATATAAATAGGGGGTCTAGTTTAGTCCGGTGTTTCAACAGATCATACCTACTCTGAAGTATACCCTACTCTGAAGACTGTTCTAGCATTGTTCTTCGAGAGGGAAAGAAAAGCTTTGACATAAATAATGAAGAGGGCTGAGGTTTTTGCTTTTTTGCTAATGCCTTTCCCAACCTTCCCAGGAAAAAGTGGCTGCTCAAACTTTAAAGTTCCCACAGCACTTTGTCTACACTTCAATTTCTATATTTCTACAATACAATGTTATACTTACAACACAATACTATAAATTTATTTTTTCTGATCTTTCAAGGGAATAGAAACTCTGGGGGCTATGTCTTACTGGTCCATTCTCAGCACCTAGCCCTGAGCCTCACACATACAGGCATTCAACAAATGTTCCTGAGTGAAAGAAAGAAGCATATTATTTCAGAACAGAAGACAGAGCATTTGGAGACATACAGTTGATTGTAAAATAGCAAGAAAGCAAGAGTGGAGATGAAACACATTTATAAAAAAACAAAACAGGAGGACACAGGATCAAAGCTGGGTAAAAATAAAGAGCAAAGCCAAATGTTACAGGCTTGGATATTGGTACACAGATGAGAAACTTGATTAAGGTATGGCCTTTTCCTCAGAGGAAATGTTTGCTCATGTATTTAGATAGACTAGAAGTTGAGAAATAGACCAGAAGTCTGCCAGAGCTTTTTAAGGAAAAACTGCCCTGTGATTTTTCTGTAAATAGTGGCAGTTCCAGCATAAGAGTAAGAATTCTGGTAAGATGATAGAGGTGGCGGGAGTGTTACTACTACCCCTATTTTCCCCCACAGAAGGGGAAAAACTGTATCCAGAATTACATATTAAAACCTGGAAGAAGTTTCTATAAATTTTTATATAGAAAAATGGAATTCAGAAACAGTGTTAACATCTGGCTCTACCTACCAGATCAAAACCATAAAAGCCTGCCTGGATAGTTTCTGAGACTGATAACCTTCAGTATGAAAAGAGCAAACATCTTTTTAGAGAAGCAGGACTGACTGGGGACGCTTTCAGATAAACTAGCTAACAGAGCAAAGTCTCAATAACCAGGAAAATGAGCAGAAAGCATAAACATTTGGCAAATGGGTCAATACTTTTATCCAGAATTGAGGGTGGCAGAATGTCCTTGAAAAAACAGTAGAATCACTGTTTGTTTTTTTTTTTTTTAAGTGACAAAATCAGCAAAGAATAAGTTTAAGATTGTTTTGGAGAAAAAAAGCAAATCCAAGTAAAAAAAGTAAGTAAAAATAGAAATGGAAAATACACATTGCAAATAGAAACAAAAACAATTTGTTGCAAATATAAGTGAATGCTCATAGTTTTACTTTTTTCCTCTTGATTCTGGGTATCAAATCCAGGTCCTCACACATGCTAGGCAAACACTACTACTGAGCTATACCCCCAACCTGCTAGTAGTTTTAAAATAATGTAACAATCCTGTAACAAGAAAGATCTTTTCTTAAAATAACAAAAAGCATCCAATTAAGCAAGCAGCAAAATTAGATCTTTTTTTGATGAAACTAAGTTTAAAACAGCTGTTTTTTTCAAAAACATTTTTTTAACCTTTGGGAAATTAATGACCAATTCTATAATGCATAACAGAGAAAGAAGATTAAAGGAAAAGATACTGGGTCATTAGTTGTTGACATATTAAATATTTAGAAAAGTATTCTTTCCAAATTGATTGTTTCAATTATATTTGGAGGCATTTGCTCTGCCCTGCCCCACCCCACGAAATTTATAAAGTTAATTTGGAAATATAGAAAGACAAAATTGGCAAAGAAAATACTGAAGTATCATTAAAGAACCAACTTTATCATATATGAGAACACTATAAAGCAGGGTTTCTCTGTCTTGGCATCACCTTTTGGAGCAGATACTTCTTTATTATGGGAGACTATCCTGTGTACTGGTGGATATTAGCAACATTCTTGTCCTTTCTTTACTCACTAGATTCCTGCAGCACCTTCCCAATTAGGACAATATAAAATGCCTCTAGACATTGCTAAATATTTCCTTAGAATCAATAATTATAAAATGATAATCATTACAATTATGGCACTAGTATAAGAAATCAGTGCAACAACAACAACAACAACAAAAGAAACCTAAATGGATTAAGACAAAAAAGAAAAAAAAGAAATCAGTGCAAGACAGTATGTATTAAAGAAGGCCATATATAAATTGGAAAAAATAAGAATTATTCAGTATACCTGGGTGAACAAGTAAAATTTGGTAGAGAAATAAATTTAAGTACTTCATATGACATCTAAAAGAGACTTCAGTTTCATAAAAGGGTTAACAATAATTTAAAAAGCTAAATTATAAAAAGCCAGGTGAAAATATGATTGAATATTAAATTACTAGATTAGATGAACTTTCTAAGGTTTCTATCCTTAGGGTGGGAAATCATAATGAGAAAGATGGACGTATTATTTTGAAACTAATATATGTCAGCTAACACAAACTAAAAGGCCAATTGGTAAGAATATTTTCAGCAGATATGAAAAAGGACACAGACAAGAAGGAACACAAATATTGAGCAAATATATGAAAAAATGTCCACAGTAAACAAGAATGGAAATTATCACAACAATTAGGTAGTAGTTTTTAATCTGCGAAAATAACTTGGGGAATTATGGAATGACATTTGCTTTGTTGTGCACTTCTGAAATAGCATTAAGTAAATGAGCGTAAGACTCTTAGAAAGCAGCTTGGCAATACATATCAAGAATTAAAAACTGATGCCTCTTAATGCATGTGAATTTTCTTTTGGTTACCTATCTCAAGAGGATATTTTCACTTACAGGAATAAATGAAAATATAACATTATTTAGAAAAGAGAAAAAGCTGAAAACAAAGTGTATGATCATGAGGTAGTGGTTAAATTAATTGTTATATTAACTTAATTATGTGACCATTATAAATGATTATTATGAAGAATAGTTAATAAAATATAATATACCTAGGATATGGTAGATAAAAAGTAAACCATTATATATATGTGTGTATGTGTGTGTATATTTATATAGACATACACGTTATGTATCTATACACACACACACACACACACACACACGTGTCATATAATTACAATTATATACAGTGTGCAAAGCAAAAAGTTAAGCCAATATAAAAGTGGTTGGTTCTAAAGCCTAAGCAACAAAATATGAGAAATATGATATATTAATTGAATAAAATATCAGGACATAAAACTGTTTATGTGTAGTATAACTTAAAACTATACAGAAAAAATTACAGATGAGGAAAAGAATAGAAGAAAATTTACCACATATTAAATAGACAAAATATAAGAGGTGTGATAGAGATCATAGTTTCTCTAAGGATTCAGAAGAAGGGTCACAGAGCACACACACAGGCAGAGAAAAGAAGTCAATATCAAGGGGATAGTGAAGATGTGAAATACAGGGAATTTATGAAGACAGAGGGATCTACAGAAAGGAAGTTGATTACAAAAGGATATACAGTCTTAAAAGGAAGAAAAAGGCATATCTTTCCTTTGGTTCAAAAGTGGGGAAAAGAGTCAGTGAAGAAAATGAAATTTTCGTGTGCTGAAGGTATGGGTTCAGAGGCACATGCACTATGATTTTCAGTCATGTGAAACTACTTTAAAAAAATCAGTTATAAATATGGATGAATTTGGTCATGCCTTTTCTGTAGCACAGTTTATTAAATTCAATGGAAAAGGTTTCTATGAATATAAAAAGTAAGTAAATATTATATAATATTGAGAGTCCAAGATGAACACAAAAAGAAAGTATTGAGTATTCCTTATATATATAAAATGTTTGGGATCAGAAATGTTTGATTTTGGATTTGGAATATTTGCATGTAATAAGATATCTTGGGTATAGGACCCACGTAAAAACATAAAATCATTTATATTTCAAATAGTCCTTTATAACATAGCCTGAAAGTAATATATACAATATTTCTAAAGTCCACATTTTGACTGTGACTCCTTGTATGAGGTCACATTTGGAATTTTCCCCTTGTGTTATCTCAGAAGATACTGGGCTTCATCTTTAAAAGTCCTAATAGAAAAAAAATCTCAAGGGATTCAGGTGCTAAATATTTGTTAGGTAAATATTTTCTGCTGGCATAATATACATGTCTATAAGACATTTAATGAAATAAGTATTATACACACATACACACACACACACAAACACAATAAAAACTCAGGAAGAAATACTTACCAAAGAAAGGCACACATGGTGGATTAATAGACCTGAGTTTTGCCAAATATTTCTTATAATGATCTTCACTCAATTCATGAGCTTCTTCTAAAATTTTCTTTTGGCGACTTGGTATTTGCTATAAGGAAAAAAAAAATGAGAAAGCTTAAGTTTATAAACAGAATTATTGGCCTTGCCAAAAAAAAGTCAGGATAACAACAAAGCCCAAACACAACAATATTGATTTTTAAAACTATCTCTACAGATGCTAGTACAAACTTAGAGGGGAAAGGGTATCTTGGCTATTTCTCACACAATTTTGTGTGCATTTACTTGTAAATAATGGTAAAAATTAAGAGAATTTTTTTACCCCTTCTAAGTTGGGACTTGCAAATATATTTTAATGAGAATGCTTCATTTTGAAAGAGTAACCAATTCATTACAAAATTTATAGATAATCCCCAGGCAACGAAAGTTCATTTAAAAACACATGTATAAACCTACCTCAAATGTGTGGTCTAGTCTGTAAACAGGTGATGAGTTCATAGCACTGACAACCTCAAGGACACCATTGAAGTTATTCAGTTCTTGAAAGACTTGGAGAATCTCAATTATTCGACTCACCACAGCTACTCTTTCTTCTAAATTTTCAGTTTCTACAATACATCTATGAGTCAAAATCAACAACAAAAAAATTAAGAATTAAATATTTATAGTTTTTCCAAAAATGATATGCTTTAAAAAAGTTTAGTGAATACAAAAATCTAGAGTGTGGTGGGGAGTGGCTATTGTATGACTTCAGAGAAAACATGTTTAAAGTGAAAGGCAGAAGGAGACTGGAAGGCAGTCCTTCTAGCCAGTCTCACTGAGCTTTTCTGTTCTTTAGACTGCTACTGTCAGCCAAACATTTTTCTAGTGTACATCCTCTATCAGAATTCAAATGAACTGATGAATATAGTATCTTGTTAAATGTATACACATCTTTGTAATTTAGGTGTGTCCTAGGGGAATGTAAAATTCAAGAATTCTGTTGCCTCATAAATCTTTAATTGTAAGATATTAGTGTTTATTGCTTAATTTCTTTCTTTCTAAAAATAAAATAAAAGTTACTTAGAAAGAAAATAGTGAAAGAAAAACCATGAAAACAAAAGTATTTTACATTAGTTAGGTGTGGTGGTGCATTCCTATAATCCCAGCAGATCAGGAAGATCACAGATTCGAAGCCAGCCTCAACTATTTAGCGAGGCTATAAGCAACCTAGTGAGACCCTGTCTCAAAATTAAAAATAAAAAGGGCTGGGATATGGCTCAGTGGTTATGCACCCGTAGGTTCGATCTCTGGTACCACGCCCGAAAAGTATTTTACATTAAAATACTGAGAATCCTTAGTAAGTATATCTATATGCTCATTATATAATAAAATGTATTCAATATTAATATACTATAAAATACACATTATATCTAGTGAATTTACTATATTTTATATATACACACCCCTCCCAGCATATAGTAAAAAGAAGTGTGCCATGTTCAATAAAAGAAAATTACTTAGCATTTAACTCTGTTTAGTGCTTGAGAGAATTTCTAACTTATTAATCACAGGTAAAGAAAAAACATTTTAAGTTTAGATTTCAATAATATAATATTAATAGTTTCTAATCGAAAAGAAATTGATAATATAAATGGGAAAACTAAATATAAATCAGTATTAAACATTTTTTAAAATATAAAGTTGCAGATTACATTATTCTCTAATGAGTCTGAATTAACACCAAGAAAAATAAACGGTTGTAGATGAAATTATCAAAATAAACTTGGCTTATCATCAAATTAAAAATAACATGTTTAAAAACAATTAAAGCTTTAGCTAGATATCTGAAAATATATTCTGGCTAACTAGTGGGCTGGACAATTAAGAAAATATAACACAGGTACAATTTATTTATATCTTTTTAAATATAGCTTTCATTTTACCATTTCAACCAAGATCACCTGTGGAGCTTTTGATTCCAATTCTAATGCATACCCCTGGCTAAGAA